TTTTTTCTTCTTTTGGTGTGGAAATAAATTTTTAAGTTACATTTACACATTTAAATGGTTACTTTATCCCCCTTCTATATTAGTTCAATACCCCTCTTTTATTTAGGAAATTCTAGGACAGTGGCAACACCATTTTACCATTAAGTACAATGATAAGTTTTATTAGTACTCTTATTTGGCTCGCATTTTGTGAATAACTACTAGGTGATTTCATTTGTGCCTTCTAACTATGTTACATCATTGTCTTTTGATTGGTTTGTACAGCCTTTTCTTATCTGGAACAGTTTTCTTATGTGCAATAACTTCTCCTTCTAAAGCAATCCTGCATGTTCCAATTTTCATTTTCCTAATCCTATAATTATAATCCTTCTAGCCATAAATCTGCAAAGATGGAAAGACATGATTTCCGTGTCCTTTATCTTTTATTATGTTGTGTTTCGCCCTGTAGGGTATCGATCAGAGTTTTTAATATTGATTTGGTTAAGGGATGATGCATGAATTTTCTATAGTATTTGTGGATGACAAATTTGATATGCTTGAGAAAAATGTATTAATAGGGATTTCAAATAATGCCAGGAGACAAACTTGCACCACCGCTTTGCTCCTTCCTGATCTCAAGTTTGTGAAGATCATTTTTATTTGCATTTAATATTCGCGTATTTATCTGTACAATTGGACTTTTTCTTAAAAGTTTGATGCAGCGTTCTTATAATGACTTCATTGCATGGAATTTTCTGACAATTTTTAAGTCATAGAACATGTATATCTAGCTTGCAAAATTGTTGGTGAACATTTCATTCCATTGGAATTTGGACTTTATACACCTCAACTAGTAGGCAGCCTTGTATTTTGACTATTGTTAGCACAGATACATAGGTTCCTAATTATGAACAAGCTCTTCATGTTTCATCGATTTGCTATGTTCTCATAAAAGAAGAAAAAAAAAAAAGTTTTGTGTTCTGGTGCTACTGACGTGACCCTGATGTCCTAGTTCAGTTGATCTAGAAATATTCTCTTCTTTTGTGTCGTTATTCTATCAGAGGCCATGTCGATCTGACTTCTCGCTGAAGATTGGACATACCTTACTCGTAGGTTTCTCTTTTATGTTGATATATAGAAGTTTGTAAGTTTCATGCTTTTATAATTTTGAAATCAATGACTTTCCATGTGGAGAAATAAAGAAAGGTTAATCTGATATCTTCAGATTCTTATATTTACACGTTCCTTTAATTATTGCCAACTAGTTGCCGTCTAGAAATTGCCTTAAGAAAATTACAAAATGGTCCCTTGTAAAGCTATAGCAACAACGTTGACATGCTTTCCACTTGTGAAGGTCTGCTATGTGTGATACTTATTGATTGTGTGAGAATAGTGGTTTTATTTTTTGTATGGTTTGATAACAGTCTCTTGTTCGTTGACATGCTTTCCACTTGTGAAGGTCTGCAAAGTGTGATACTAATTGATTGTGTGAGAATAGTGGTTTTATTGTTGTATGGTTTGATAACAATCTCTTGTCCGATTACTTCACAAGTGTTGGTACTAATATTTATGATTTCACCCCCAAATTTGCTCCAGGTGTCGAATTTGTCAGATAAACAGAAAAGTAAAGTGGGCCCACAGCAGCAGCTTCCCGTATCATCCTCTCTTACCATCACTCACTCCCACCGGGGCGGGCCCGTGAAGGGTGACTTCCCGAAGGCACCACCCACCGTGAGTAAGCTCCATGTGCTCAAGCCTGCAAGAGATAAGAATAGTATCATCACCCCTGTCTCGAAGGACAACCTGAGCCCAACAAGTGTCAAACCTGCAGGCTCCCAACTTGCCCTGGGTCGGGCCCCGCCAAGCAGCGCGGCCTCGGACCGTAAGCCCATTCCGACTGTGCTGGAGAAGCGGCCCACCTCCCAGGCCCGAAGCCGCAACGACTTTTTCAATCTCATGAGGAAGAAGTCTATGGAGAGCTCTTCCCCTGCTGTTGACTCAGCTGTCATGGAGAACTCATCATCTCCCGTGGGCCCCGGCGATGTTTTGTCGCCGACCTTTTCAGATAAGAATGCTGAGTCCATAGAGTTGCTGCCGCCTTTGAGTTCGAGCCCTGACGTGGATCGTGAGGAAAAAGTCGAGATGCGTAATGTTGACGGGAAAAAGTACACGAGCTGCGATCTGATTATATCGGAGGAGGAAGAGGCTGCCTTTCTACGTTCTTTGGGATGGGAGGAAAATGATGAGGAGGGTGGTCTTACTGATGAGGAAATAAGTTCTTTCTACATGGATTTAACTAAGGTACTTTTTTTTTTTTTCCCGAACTTCAGTTTTGATATTTATTTTTCTTGTTATTACAGGAAATACAGTCCCTGGGGGTTTAGTAAGGATCAATTACTTTCGGATTAAAAATGCGGCTCGACAAAATTTTCTGAGAATGATTGTTGTGTTGTGTTTTTTTGCAGTACATCAATTCAAAACCATCCCTCAAAATACTGCAAGGTGTGCAACTAAAGTTTATGCTGCCATTGGATTCACAAATTAAGGTTACTGATGAAATTGCTGATGCGAAGCTGGAATCTTGATTTCCCAAATGTGCCGATTTCTTGTTTTGATATGAGAAGTCTGTTCTGCGTTTCTCGGTCGACATATGTTTGCTGGGAGCTAAGTAGATACAAAAAGATCGATAGGTTTTGCCCTTTTGCTGGTTAGGAATAACTGAGGATCAATTCTGATGATCGATTACTTTCGACGATGACCATTCGTCACCCTTCATGGGTCCTTAGCTTTTATTTTTTCTTCCTTTTTCGAGTCAAAAGATTTGAGTAAAGAGAATAGATAGGGGGTTCCTTTAATCAAGCTCTGCTGGAAGACATTGTTCGTCTGCAAAGTCTGGGTCTCGACAGTTTTGGTGTCGTCTTCCTAAATAGGGATGAATATCGTTCGAACAAATGATTTAATTTTTTATTGTCTATCAGAGGATGGGAAGAAGAAAAAGAAAGCAAGAATTTAGTATAATCCGTCAATTTTTTTTTTTTTTTTTTTTTTTTTTTT